GGTTAGCACCCCGGCCCGGCGGTCAGGCGGCTCGGGCGGAGCGGGAGCTGCTGCCGTCTGCGGCGCAGCTCGGGGCCGAGTGAGAGGGGAAATGGAAGAGATCCGGGCTCGGGCCCCGCGCAGACCGCACCCTACCCATGTCCCTGCCTCCTGTGCGCTCGACAGCGAACCTGCAGCAAGGGCGGCACAGCCTCCTCCCCCTCGGGCGGGCGGCCCCGGCACCAGCCAGCCCTCGTCCCCGCTCGCTCCTCTGCCGCGTCCGCCCGCCCGCTGCCCTCGGCGCCCCCTGTGCTGCCCGAGTTCGCCCTCCCCGCCCGGACGCGCCCCACCCCGCCACGGGCCTCGCCTCTGGGCTCCCCGCGGCTCCGGGGTGCCCCGCCAGACGCAAACCTCCCGGACAGGAGCTGCCACCCCCGCAGAGACCGCAACCCACGGCGCGGCCGGACGCGAGGGGCGGGGGGCAGTGGCCGGACCGCACAGCCGCCTACGGTGTCCCCTGCGGGGAAGCCAAGCCAAAAGGCAGGAGGCCGCTCCTAACCTGGTGCCCCACCCTGGCCCAGGAGCCGCGCCCTCTCAGCTTGGTGGACTGAATTCTGTATCAACCCGGTGCACATCCCATGGCCGCCGGGTGTGAAGCTGGGAACGGGGCATCCTGCCTCACGAAGAGTCAAAGAGGGGTTTTTGAGTTGGAAACACTATTGAAAAGAGCAAACCGAAGTTGCAGAGGGAGGGGCCACGGTGCAGAGAAGAGCAGCTAAATGGCGACATCGACAGAATCCTGGAGGAACTGACCACGGCCGAGAGGGGCAGCGCGGGGCTCGGGGACCCGGGCTTCCTAAGGACCGCGCCAACGACTCAGAGCTGCGGGCATGCCGGACAATTACTCTGTCAATTCTACTCTACAAATTAAAAAGGACAGAGAATAGGTAGAGGCAGCCAGAGAAACATGGATTGTCCATGTATTTTAACATGCCATTCAGGACAGCTGAATGAACTCGGATTTATTCTGCTAAAACAAGAAAAGGCAAGTATGTTAAGGACAAATGCCACCATCGCAACAAAGTATATGATTTGGTTGCAATATATCCTACAAATTCAGTAGAGATAGAAATAAAAAGGTTTAAAAATGCTCATTCCAAGAATACTAACACAATAAGTACCATTTTATTGATACGCGTGTGATATATAGAAGCTATTAGATAAGTATCTGCTAAGTATTCTGCTTGCATTATCTAATTTAAACTCACAACCCCCAATGAGCTATTATTACTCCCAGTTTACAAATGAAGATTTTGAAGTTCAAAGAAGATGAACCACTAGCTTCTGGCTGAGGAGCAGAGAGGAATTCAAATCCTCTACCCTCTACCCAGGTCTGACCCCAGAGCCCCAGCCCTCACCGGCGCAGGTGCCTTGGCCCTCTGTCTTGTGCGTCCAGTACAGCCCGGGTTTTGGACGGTGGTGGCTTTTCACAGATGTACTCACGTTTTCTCTGGATCGACTTTGTGAACAGAAGTTCAGAATTGAAGAGGACACAAGATAGTGCTTAATCCAAGCACTTCATTCACAGAAAAGGAAACTGAGGCCCACAGAAGGGAAGTTAGGATGACACCACCAAGAGTAGCGTGGCATGTCACTTGGATACAGAATGGACTGTTTCTTTCCCTCCCCTTTCCCCATGTTCCCCACACTGGGTTTCTTCCTTCTTTGGTATTTGGATTCTGTCTCCCAGTCTCAGATCACTCTGATGTTGTTTCTTTTCCTTGAAAGCTCTCAAAGAGCTTTAAGGCACGTTTTCCGGGGTTCAAAAACTATCCCTGCAATATTCCCCACCCACCTGCCTCTCTCCCACTGATTTCCGGGGCAGACTCCTCAGCCACGTCAGAACCTCTCTCGGTCCAGACAAACTGGGGTCCTCTTCTTATGGAGCTCTAAAGAAGACCACCCCATAGGTTTCCAGGGTCACCTGTCCCAATGTGTTATGTAATAATCTTCTAGGGAAGTTTTGCCTTAAGTTCAGTCTTTCTTTCTTCCTCCCTCTCTAATGCAAATTCAACTCCTTTCCTTTTTTTCTGGCCTTAGAGATCAGGGCCATTATCCCACTTCGGTCTCTGTTAAATTCACTTTCAACCTTCTTTTCTCCAAGTAAAAGACAATTTTAAGAATCTCTTAGAGGCTTGAACTTATAACCATGTATTAACTTTGCCATTCTTCCTCTCACTTCTGTTCTTAAACTGTGATCCTGTTGAATACAAATCTCTGGTAAAGATCTGATCTGTGTCAAATAAGCACTATGGGGTGCTGAGGCAGCTTGGCATCAGGGGTGCTCCTTGGCATCAGGGGTGCCCCTCCAGCAGTGTAACCTCAATGGTTGAGATTGTGCCCCCACCAAGTCTAGCCCCACCTTGGCCTGGCTAACTTAGGAGCAGCGATCAGGGTGTGCACTGGGAGAAGCGGATGTGGGGGGGGGGCCTAATATTTTCCAAGTCTTTTCTCTGTGACACTCACCTTAAGCACTTAGCCAAATCTTCCCAATAACCCTCTGAACATGGCAATTCTTATTCTCATATTACGGATCTAGAGTGGCTCTAAGGCTCTAGGAGTAACGTAACTTGTCTGGGGTCCCACAGTCAAGATTTGAACCCCGGAGCTTCTTCACTCCGAACTTCTACTTTTTTCTCAGGACACAGTGGTGGTTCAAGATCTGAATCTCAAGTTCGGATCTGCATCAGTCCGGTCGCATTCAGTGGAGGGAGGGGGAGAAGAGGACTGAGAGTGGAAGCATCATCATTTCCATGGCAGTGATCCTGGAGCACTTTTTATCTGAATTGGGGCCCAAGAACCTTGGGGCATTTCTTGGCTGCCTATGTTCTTAGCTGTTAGGTAGATGTAGGGTAGCTTTTGAATTGGGCTAATCCATGAGACCTAGCAAATGAAGCCTGGTCGCTGGCAGGTTCCACCTAGAGAACCAAGGTGTGCCACTCCGGGGCCACCCATGGCCTGGAGTTTGAGCAGTAGCAACACAGCCTGAACAGGGCACCTCACATCTGAGTCCTGGGCCTATTGGTAAAAGCACTTTTCTTCTCCCTCCTTTAGACCCTTCTCCCCCTCAATCATCTGGATTTGGGATAGAACAAAGTAAAATCTATTTCTTTGGATACTATGATTCATTTTTTGCTTACTAGAATGAACGTTGGAAAAATAGATTGGAAAGAAAGGCGGCGGCAGAGGGGGATGGAAAATACACCATAGAACCTGATAATTTAAATATCTGTTGGGGCACCTGGCTGGCTCAACGGGTAGAGCATGGGACTCTTGATCTCGGGATCATGAGTTCCAGCCCCACGCTGGGTGTAGAGATTACTTCAATAAATAAAACTTAAAAAATTTTAATATCTGTTTATTAGACTACTATGTTAGTATATTTACTCAATCTTGAATTTAACACTGTAGTACAAATATCATGGGCTTATCGTCATCTATTCATATAGGTGTGCATATGTATGTGTGTGTATATAGATGTGTGTGGATCTACAGATACACACACACACACATACCGTGCTGGTCCGTACTTCTATAATCGACTAGTCTTTTTCCTCCTAATCCTGCCACTTGACCAGATCAATCCTGCTCTAAATCCATGGGTGCTGAGCCACAACCAGACAAGTTTCAGGAATGCAGTTAGTCAAATATCTTCCAATGACTCAGAGCACAGCAGCCCTGGCTCACAGAAAGAGCACTAGGCCTGGAGGTGGCAGATCTGCACCTGAACATGGTCTCCGATACCAGCTACCTATGTGGCCTTGGGTAAGTCACTTGACTTCTCTAAATTTTCGTTTTCTCGTCTATCAAGTGAAAATCTTATCACTTACCTTGTAGGACTGTTGAGAGGGTTAGAAGTATAAGCTGTAAACTACAAAGCTTATGTGTCATTTTCCTCTGCTGGGTTCGCTAGCGACAGTGGTTCTGATCCCTATCACCCATCTGGAGGGAATAATATCCATCAGGCTGCTCATACATGTGTGCCCTGAGACAGTAGTGGGACTAAGAGGATTCTTTCTATTAGGGAGCATCTACCTTGTGCACACTAGCGTGATGGGTGCATAAAGACAGAGAATGCAAACAGAAAGTAAAAGACACAGTTTTTGTCCTCAAGAAATTTACTATTTAACCTGAAAAATAAATCATGAAAATAAAAGACAGTTACGAAGCCATGAATGCCACTCACAAATGAGTACAGAATAATGCATGATAAACTAGATAAGTTAGTAGATAAGGGCCTAGAAGGGTATGGAATTAAGAAGCCATTAGCCTGGGGATCTTTCTTCCCATTGAATTCTTCCCACTAGTTGTCCCAGTTACTTAACTGTTGGAAATGTTTTTCATCATCTCTAGATCATTTTGACATCCGTTTCATAGCTGCTTCAATTCCATCTGATCATAGGGTTAGACCTCTTGAAAGAGATCGGTTTTGAAGGAGGGAAAGGAATACCTGAAAAGAATGAAGAGGATACTCAGTGACAGGCTGTGGCCCAAGCCTAGATGATGGCACCAGTGATAATGAAAACCCAAGCTGGATGATCTAGTAAAGGGGGAAACCCCAGTGCAATCTGTTGTAACCTTCACAAAAGCCTTATGAAATTGACACCATTATCTTCATTTTACGAATGAGGAACTAAGGTTCAGAGCTTGTGAGGGAGTTGGAGTTGGAATCCAGACCGGTTTGACTCCATAATAATCCATTTCTTCGTGATTCCTGGGGCAAGCACGCTGGGTTGTTGACCTCTGTTCAAGACACTCATTTTCTCTCTAAATCTAAGGGACTCTATTGTTACTTTCATCTTGGATTTTTAAGACCTCATACTCTTCTTTTTTTTTTTAAAGATTTTATTTTTATTTTATTTGAGAGAGAGAATGAGATAGAGACAGA